GTCCATGTGGGTCACGTGCACACACCTATATAATGGGTGGGTCATGGCGGGCTGGAGATCCCATTGAATCGGAGCAATTGCACGATGGGTTCCACGCGTACCCTCGGCAACCCAACGAGGGACCTCGACCAAGCCATCACGCGCGGCGTTGGCCTGCATGCGGTATGGTTGCGGCTGGCGCTGCGTCGTCATGATGAAACCTGGCGCAGAACGCGGGAAGCAGCTGAAACACCTGCTCGGGAACGAAAGGGCTCCGGACATAGAGAGGGAGGGGTGGGGAAAAGATGTTTCTGTGGGCTCTCGCTACAATGCTACACCATGCGATGCTACGCCATACATCGATATCTAATATTGTGGACTGCCAGGCCATGTAATGTCAGCTTCTGTTACGTGACACGTTGCGCTTGCCCATATCCTGCTGCTTTGCGTTGCCTTGCTATGTTGGGCGTGCTGTGCTGGTCGCGCTATGCTTTGCAATGCTACGCCTATGCGGGCGTTGCGTGTATATCATGTGGCCCCCGTCCCTTCGATGTCTGCGCTCCAATCCCGCCAGCCTACTGGGCTTAGGTGGTATAACACGTTGTGTTTCTTCTCTCTACCCCGCCCCTTACCCTCCCCCCCAGCGTCCGAGATGGCCCAAGCAGGCTCCAAGAGGCATTCAAAGTCGCAAGATGGCCTCCAAGATGACCCGTGATACTTCAAGATGGGTCAACGTAGCACCCGGACATGCCCCCAAAGAAACCCCAAGACAGCCCCAAGACGGATCCAAGTGCCCCCTGAGCCCTCCACGGTGCCCTCCAAAATGGCAAAACCATTTGAGAGCCGATGGGAAATCCATGTTTTTGGTATTATCGCCTTTTCGTTTCCGATAGGCTCTGGAAGCCTCAACATGGCCCCACGCTGACCCAACATATGCCCTAGAAGGGCCCACAAATGCAGAATGCGGCCCCAAGATCGCCCAAGAGGCCACCATGATCGCTCCAAGAGGGCCCCAACATGCCGTTTGAGAACATCCGAGGGGGCGATGCTAATTGGGGGACCTCCTCCTTTTGAGCCACGTGGCCCAAGATGACCCCAAGAGGCCTCCCAGCCTCTCCCCAAAGACCCTCCACCCCGCCCTGTTTGGCCCAATATGGCTTCCAGAGAGCCCAATATACGCAGATATGGATTTCAGAACGGCCTAGGATAGCCAAGCATGGCTCAATATAGCCTCCGACAGACCCTCAAGCCAGCCTCAAGATGACCCAACATAGACGAGCATGGCTCAAGATGACCTCCGACAGCCTCTTGCCGAGACTGGCTCAAGATAACCTCCAAGATGCCTCGAGAAAAACTCGCAATCAATTATGGATGGGCTGGTGGGGATACGCGAAGCGTCAAGAATTGGCTTTGCAACGATGTCTGAACCATCTCTCTGTGCATTCTTTATCAGGTGGCCCCCTGATGATGTTGCCCAACGCTACCGTCGTCGTCGCCATCGTCGTCGTCATCATCGCCCTCATCATCGTCGCCATCATCGTCATCGTCTCGACGTCGTTGTCGTCGTCGTCGTCTTGTCTGAGACTCTCCTTTCCTGGGGCGCCAAAGCGCAAGAACGCACGCAGCGAGGGCGGCGGGCTGTCGTGTCCGTTAGCGAGCCAGCTGCAAGTGAGGAGGCTGATTATTTCTCGTGCTCATGCTCCTCTTCCTCCTCCTTATCCAAATCATATTCCTCGTCCCCTGGCTCCTCCCCCCTCGCCTGCCCCCCCCTTTTCTCCTCCTCCCCTCCCCCATTCCTCTGATGAGGCGGGGGATGGTGGTGCGAGTTGGCTGGCGAATAGGGGAGAGGCGAGCAGACGGCTAAAAGAGCCAGGATCTACAGCCAACGCAAGGGCGCTTATACTGCACATACATTATATTAGCATGAGGCCAACAACTACTGGATGGCCTTGATCACATTGGGCAACAATGCCTTCATCACTGAAACCGTCATGGCGTTGCCGGCGAGCTCGCCGGCCGCAGTGCGCGTGAGCATCGAGAAGTCGAACTCAGCAGGGTCACTGCCCTGCAGGCGAATGATGCTGTCCAGGCTGAGGAAGTTCATCGTCTTGGTGTCCACGTAGGCCTTGGGGTCGCAGCCGCGCGACCTGGTGATCGTGGGGGACATGCCAACCATGTAGTGTGGGCCACGACCGTTCGCAGCATCAATGATGATGCGTGCGTCGCCAGGCTCCATGTCACACTGCTTCTTGATGGCCTTGGTGGCCGCGAGTATGCGGGACCGCAAGCTCTCGGTGGTAGGCAACGAAACCCCCTTGTCCAAGAACCTCGAAAGAGCAGGCGGCTTAGACTCCTTCGGCCACTGAAACGCGTCGCTCCCCTTGATGTCAGAACGCAAGCACACGTAGTACACGCGCGAGCGGTTCTGGGGAACGCCAAAGTTGATGCTGTTCAATACCCTCATGTGGATAACGTACCCGGAGCGCCTGAGATGGCGCTCAATCTTGTCACGAACAGCCTGGTGGGTGGAGTACAAAAAGCCAGGCACATTCTCGAGAATCACTGCGCGAGGCCTCTGGCGCCTCACGTACTGGAGGATGGGGTCGATCACCTGGGACCTCTCGTCGTCGCAGCCCTTGCGCGCCCCGTCGGCGGCGTACGGCTGGCACGGGAACCCAGCGCTGAATATGTCAACTGATGTCGCACCCTTGAAATCTTTGTCGAACACGTTTGAGTACCACTGCTTGAAATCGAAGTTGGCGGTGCAAAACGCGCGGCTGGCGGCAGCAATGTCGCACCCAAACTCGTGCACGCATGGGATCCCCAAGAAGTGGAGCGCCTGCGCCTCCGACGCCCAGCCCGTGCAAGCGCTGCCCACCTTGATGGCTGCCTTGGCCTTCGTGGTGGGCGCAGCGCGCGGGGCAGCTTTGCAAGCCTTCCCCATGGGTAGCGCAAAGGTTGCGCGGGGGCCGCCTAAATCACTTCAGCCCAAATGGCTACGGATAATCTGGAGCGGCATTGGCAGCGCAGGACATTCAGGAGGGAGGATATCATTCAGGAGAGGGGTTAATGGGAGCAATATCCGGATGCCCAGGATGTGGTAATTATCCCAGTGCGACCCTACCTGGGGGGTGGAGGATCTAGGCAAGCAACATCTACATCTACACCGACAGCTACACTAACATCTACACCTGCATCTACATTTTCATCTACATCAACAGCGAGACTCACATCTACATCTACATCCACATCTACATCTACACCTACATATACATCTACACTTACATCCACATCTACACCTCATCTACATCTACATAGACATTTTCGCGCCATTGCTGTTTTTACTTTGCATGCTATGATTTGCTATGTTATGTTATGGTTTGCTATGCGACGCTATGCTTGGCTATGCTATGCTATGCTAATGCTGTGCTAATGCTGCGCTGTGCTAAGCTAAGCTAAGGTAAGCCAAGATATGCTATGCTATGCTGCGCTATGCTGTGCTAGGCTAGGATAGGCTATGATATGATATGCGATGCTGCGCTATACTATGCTATGCTACTATGGTATGCTGCGTTATGCTATGCTAGGATGTGATATGATGTGCTATGATATGCTACGCTGCGCTGTGCTATGCTGTGCTGTGCTATGATGCGCTATGCTATGCTATGCTATGCTATGCTATGCTAGACTGCGATGTGCGATGTTATGCGAAGCAGTGCCATGCTATAGTGCGCTTGGCTATGCTATGCCGTGCTGTGCTGTGCTAGTGATGCGTTGCGCTATGCTGCGCTAAGCTAAGGTAAGCTATGCTAAGCTAAGCTAAGCCAAGCAAAGCTAAGCTATGCTAAGCCAAGCTAAGCTAAGCTAAGCTAAGCATAGCTAAACTAAGTTAAGCTAAGCTAAGCTAAACTAAGCTAGGCTAGGCAAAACAGGGGATCCTGGGGGAACTGTGGGGCAGGCCCCGGGCCCCTTGAGCTTATGCGGTAAGAACCCTTCTAGGCAGAGCCTAAGTAGGGGACGAGTAGGGCAAAGAGGCAGAGGATGACGAGGATGAAAAAGAGGGACACGAAAAGGAGGATGCGAATGCACGAGCAGGAGGAGTAGGTGTAGCAGGAGGGGGAACAGGAGGACAGGGAATAATAATAAGGAGGAAAAGGAAAGGTAGGGGAAAGAGCAGCCCCCCCCCCCCCCCGCGCTAGCGCGCCTTGCCCCAGGGGCAGCGCCCGCAGCGCCGCCGGCGGCAGCGCCGCCGCCGCCCGGGCCCGGGCCCGGGCCCGGCCAGGCCAGGCCAGGCCAGCCCCCCCCACCCCTCCACCACCCCGCCTGGCCGCCAGACCCACCCCCCTCCACCACCCCGTCCAGGACCAAAACACCAGGAACACGATTCAAGTGCCCTGGAAAGAAAACCATGACCCCTCCTCCTCATCCGTCTCCTTATAATTTGATTTGCCCTGCGACCCCGCCCATAATTTGCAAGAGTCTTTGCCCTTTTCCTCGCTGTACTCCTGCTCCCCTCATCATCCACCCTTCCCTCCCCCGTCCTTCTCCTTCTCCTCCTCCTCCTCATCATCATCACCCTTCTCTTGCCTTTCCTCATCTTTCCCCCCCCTGCCCGCCCTTTGTTCTCCTCCCACCTATCCCGACCTCAGGAGGATAATGATCAGGACGATAACAAGGACCACGAAGAGAAGTATACGGACGCGGAGGAGGAGGATGAGGAGGAGGAGGAGGAGGAGGAGGAGCAGGAGCAGGATAAGGGTGAATAAGACAAGGCTGACAATAACGATAAGGGCAAGGACGGGGAGAATAATGAGAAGGATGACACGCAGCAACAACAGGAGCATGATAGCAAGGGAGAGGGAGGATGTGGAAGATGATGAGGAGGAGAGGGGAACGCGCCGGGCTAGGTCGATCGACTCGGACAGCGGGCGGCCCTGGAACGCCGCCCCGCCGCCCCGTCTAACAAGAGCCAAGTTTGGCGACGGGATCGATCCAGCAAGTAGACGGAACGACAGCGGGACCTAGCCAGAGGCCCAGGTAGAGCAACTTCGGAGCCACCTCGAACGAGCTCCACTCGGGGACCACACGGGAGACCCAGTAGGAGACTGTGGCCGAGAGCTCGGGCGAGAACCTGTCAGGCAACGGGACAATCTTGCATTTCGAGACCTTCAGGGCGAGGTTGGCCAAGTCCGAGGCCATCTGCATAACACGATACACATGTACTAGGTGCCGTATGGCCAATAAAGTGCCCCCAATGTCATCAGCACAGGCCCGAACCAGGCCAAGACCAGCGGCCTCAACACGGGAAGCCAGGTCAATCAAGAAGACAGCTGTACCCAACGCATACAGAGTGCCCGATACGGCACAACCCTGGATGATGCCGCTCTGGATCCAGAAGATGTGAACTAGCGTGCCTAGGTGCGAGACGACCCCTTCCACCGACGCATAGAGGAACGTGACGAAGGGCACGAAGGCATCAGGCAGCTTGAGGGCCCTAAGGGAGAGGATGAGGAAGTCCTGATTCAGAGACGGGAAGGCTTGGCCGAAGTCCAGGGAGTACAATAACGGTATATCAGCAGAACCGTGCGGGACAACCGACATCTGGCGACTCGAAACGTCGAGCTCGAGGATGTTGTTGCCGAAATTCCTACCAGGTATGAATCCACGCTGGCATGGCGGGGCGAGGGCCACCAAGGCAGGACGGATCGCACGGTTGACGGTGGAGGAGATGAGCTTCAGGTCACAGTTCCTAAGGCCCAAGACTCTAACCTTGTCGGGGGAGCGAGAGCAGCTGCCATCGCGGAGCTCCAAGTCCGTGACATTTTTGGGCAGAAAAATCTGGATCGTGTCGCTAGCGTTCGCAAAGAGTCCTTGGCCACTGAGCACCCAACCAAGGGCGTCCCACAAGATGTCGGCACCCCACGAGGACGCAGCCCACGCAGCGTATGGCAGAGCATCAGGACCAGGAGCAGAGTGCTGGGCAGACCGCATTGCTCGACGTAGCATATTTTTCGAGGGCGGCGGCAGGTGTAGATCGGCAGGAAGGTCAGGAGCGAGGCGACGAAGGTAGGGAGCAGCAGCAGCAACGTCCCACGGCTTTTTCTGGAAGACGGGGGCCCAGTGTTCCGTGAGCACTCGCAGGCGGTCCGAGGGCTCACTGACCGTAGAGCCATCTGGCGCGAGAACAGCTGAGAGCGAGATCCTGCGATTGAGAGGGGGCCACAGACGAGCGCGCCGCTCTAGAGCACGAACCTGGGCACGAACCTGGACGCGGTCACCTTCACGCCGTCTGCGCTCTTCAAGTTCTGTCTTCGCGGTCTCGGCAGCCAGTCTGGACCTGGTCGACCCAGGCCTGGAAGGACGGCGGGTGGCGGAGCTCGACCTTCCCGTTGGCAATCGAGATCATGTCAATGGCCAGGGGATGGGAGTCCTGGAGCCTGGAAGCCATACGCAGGTCTTGCCTCCAGACAACTCGGGCCAGAGCACGAGCAAGCAGCAGGCAGGTGTGCGGGTGGTGCGGCCTGTCCCGAAAGAGGGTGTCCCTGGTCTCCGAGGCCGCAATCTTCAAAAGCTCCTTGTACTTTTCTAACTTGAACGGGGGCGACATGGAGTCCCACGGAACATCAGAACACAGCCCTTCCAGACGCCTCTTGAAACCTGGCTCCGAGAACAGGTGTTTGGGTATGGGGCGAGACTCCACAGGCCGAGGTGGGCGGCAGGCAAGCGAGACAACAACAGCAGCATGGTCAGAGATCTTTTTGTCGAAGACAGCCGCCGGTGTGTCGAGCGCGTCGATCTGGACATGCAGCTGGCAGATCTGCCAGCCCGTGAGCGAGCAGAAGACGCGGTCGATCGTCGCGCACGAGTCGTTGAACTTCTCGTAGTGCGTAGGGTCCTCGCACGCAATCTCGGTCAGGAGGGCGAGAGCCTGGCGCCACTTGGGAGCCGGCACGTGGTGGCACTTCGACTGCTTGCGCACTGCCGCCGAAGGGGCAGCGAGCGCCAGAGCCTCATGCGTGGCAAAATTGAAGTCCCCGAGGACAAAGGTGGTGTACATGTCGGGGTCGTCAGCAGCCGCACGCTGCGATACTCGCATCGCGGCAGCCACTTCACGAACTTGCTGGGCGGACAGATCATGATTGTGAACGTTGAAGATGTCGAGCGTGCGGCAGTCATCCCGTACCCGGACTAGCATCGCTCGGCCTGGCACCAAGACAGTTGAGGATGTCATCGGCAAGGTGGACCCTTGACGAGCCAGCGGCGGAAGAACCACAGCGACTCCACCACGCCGATGCCCGTCATCCGCGTCTGAGATGAAGCTGGAGTGGATCGCGAGGCCCGACGCGATCGAGTTGAAGAACGAGACGAGCTGGAAGTGGTCCTGGTGCACCTCCTGCAGCGCGATGACCGTGGAGAGGGGACGTAGACGGAGAACGTACTTCCTCTCCAGCCAGCCTGTAGAAGTGCACGAGAGTTCCAGGTAGCTATCCGAAACGGTGACGCCGCGGACCCAGGCTGCGGCGCTGGAAGATGAAATAGCCCAGCAGCACTAAAGGCACCACTGGCTAGGGTCGGTCGGGTGCGTGAGCTCCTTGACCGCATTGCGGAGGGTGTCGATGGCCATGGCATGCTTGGCGAGCTGCGTCGAGTCCCAGTAGATCTTGGGCGGGGTGTCGCCGTGGAAGACGTCGACGTGCATGATCTTGTCCCAGCCGATCGAGAGGACGCCGTGCTCGCGGTCGGAGTAGAAGCGCTTGCCAGGGTACTGCAGCTCCACAATCGCTCTGGCCTTGCGTAGAGTGACCTCGGTCTTGATACGTTTGGGCGACTTGTCGGGGCCCAGGTGCAAACGGCAGCGCTCGGCACCAGGGGGGTCGACCCAGAACTCCTTCCAGCCGTCGGCGCCCTTGAGGAGCGACGTGGCCTTGTTGGCGCGGCGCGACGCAATGGTGGTCGAGCCCGTGAAGCAAATCTCGAACCTCCTGGCAGGAGACTCGCCTTTCTGCTTGATCTCGTACTGTTCGTCCTCAAAGCCAATCTCGCCGAGCCACGGGCGCAGCGAAGAGACCACTGAGGCCAAGGTAGTAGGGCGCTGTGACACAGCAACAACAATCGTGGTGTCCTCCTCGCGGTCGAAGGACGTGGGAGCAGCGAGCTGCTTCCTGGGAGTCTGCTCGGCGATGGCCATCTGGCGACGGAGTTCGGCAAGCTGGTCTTGAAGATCATGAATGGACTTGTCGTGGGCGTCAGCACGGCCCTCAAGCGCGGAGAGGCTGCGCTTCTGCTCGTCGAGCTGAGCCTGCAGGCGCCTGTTGAGGGAGTCGAGCCTGGGCGCGATCGCCGTCTGGACCTGGCCTTCAATGGCGCTGGACTGCTTGGCCACCTCGCTCTGCATGGAGGACAGCATCTTAAGTAACGTGTTGTGGTTGGCCGTGACGGTCTTGGCGACAGACTCGGACACCTCGGTGGTGATGGTGTCCCGCATGGAGGCGAATTCCTCTCTGCACAATTGCCGAAGAAAGTCACCATCGTCTTCATCATCATCCAGAAGAGAAGCAACAGGAGCCTCGCCGTCGGCCGACGCGAGGGCTTGCCGCTTGCGCTGCACGAAACGGCCCGCACCCTTGCCCTTGCCAGTGCGCTCGCTGTCGGGGAAGGTGGGCATGGCTTCGAACTCGGCAAGAATCTGGCGCTCCTGGGCACTGGCAGGCCCAGCTGGGACCGCATCTGCCATCAGAAGCACAGAAAACGCAAGTGTCCGCCAGCCTTTGACAGCTGGATGGCCCAGGAGGAACGGCTGCCTCACTCAAAACGGGCCTGTCCCGATCTTCAGCCAAAATGGCAACGGAGGAGGAGGAGGAGGAGGAGGAGGAGGAGGAGGAGGAGGGGGAGGAGGTGGCGAATGAGCAAGAAGATGAGCAGGAGGAAGAGGATGAGGAACGAGGAGCACGAGGAGGAGCAGCAGCAGCAGGAGCAAGAGGAGCGGGAGGAGCAGGAGGACCAGGGGAAGCAGAGGATGAGAAAGGAGCGGTACGACAATGACGAGGAAGGACTCGGATCCAGAGTTGTGGCCCGCGCTGGGGCGAGAGCGCCGTTCGAAACGACGGGAACAGAGCGTGGATCCTGAAATGATGTCAAATCTGCAACGCGAACACGATTTCGAAACACCACCGGAAACGTTCCGAGTGAAAACGCTATGCAAGCAATACGTTGTGAAATCCTCTATGCAACAACAAGTAGCGGGAGCACATGTGTTCCGCCGCTCGGACAGGATCCGGGAGGGAGGAAAGTAGTATTCATGATGATCAACTGTGTATGGGGGTGGTGTTGGGGGGACGGCGAGAGGGGCGGGGGGACGAGGGACGAGGGAAGAGTGCAAATGATCGGGTTGGTGGTTGGGTTTTGCCTTGGGGCGGGGCGAATGGCGACAGCCCCCACCGTGCAAAGAAGCGATCCAGCACCCTGGCGCGGTAGAATATTCGAGGGGCGGCGCCGAAGGTAATAACATGTTTAACACGCGTTGGAGCTCACTCCCCACATTTGTGTGCAATGTGGTCAGTGTCAACGTAGATGTGGCGCATACAAGCAGGCATAACTAACGACTCGACGCGACATACATGAAAAAACTAAGCACGCAACTTTCACACATGAGCAACGATCCATGACAGTTTGAAACACCATACGTACACACATCACAACAGCACATGCCGTTGTTTAGAGACCTGCGACGCACCCTTCGGAAATCTTCGCGACAGCTCCCTTGTGGAATCGCTTGGCGCAACATCTGCCGCGCTCTCTCTGTCTCTCTATCTATCATTCTATCTATACATATATATATATGCATATATATACAAATTGTTATGATCTCTCTCTCTCCCTCTTTCTCTCCTCTGTGATCGTTTCTCTTGTGTTTTGTCACATGTCTCTGTTTTTATGTAGTCTCTCTCACTCTCTCTCTCTCTCTATTTCCTCATCTCTCTCCTCCTTCTCCTCCTCCTCCTCTTCCTCCTCCTCCTACTTATCCTTATCCTCCTCGTCCTTTTCCTCCTCCTCCTCCTCCTCCTCCTCCTCCGCCTTCTCTGTATACACATCCGCCACCGTTCCGCTGGGCACTGAGTGGGTTTGTCCTCGCGTCCTTTCCCCAATCTCCTGAGCCTCAGCCCCCGATCATAAGGGTTGAAAGGGGCCCGGGCCCAAAATTCACACATATTCTTGGGCTTGGCGCGTGCCCCTTGGACTCCGCCGCGTCTCCCCGCGTGACTCGTGCTCAAGAGGGCCCCCAGGCGGGCCGAGAGGGCTCCAGGAGGCCCCGAAGACGGTCGAAGAGGGCACCGGGTCGCCGAACGATCGCTCCAAGACGCTCAAGTTGGCCCCCAGACGGCCCCAGAAGCCGCCAAGACGCCCTAAGAGGCCTCCAACAGGACCCCAATAGGCCAACATCATCTATTAGCCGAACAATTTCAAAGGTTTTTGGCGTTCTCGTCGTTTCGGCTTCCCGACGCTCCCACACGGCCGCAGATGCCCCCACGATATTTTTTGACCCGCGAATTCAACCACTGGTTCTGCCGCTGCCCAACGGCTGGCATCACAGGAGCCTCATCCTCTTAGAGGGCGAGGTTCGTCCGAGGCTGCACGGGCTCGCTGACAAAAACCTCAGCCGAAGCACGAACAGATGGCGACTGGATCTGGTCAGCGAGGAGAGCCGAAGAAAAACTGAGGGCCCCATCCTGGCCTCCAAGGCCCGCAAGGTCACACTCTATCGCAACTGTAACTATATTCGAGGTGGGGTGCAGGCCTTTGCACAGCTGCTTCCAGGCCCTCATCCCGAAACGTCCAGGAGGGGGATCGCAGCGCTTGTACAGGCCTCGAACATGGCCGTGCGAGGTATAACATTTACACCTCACGCAAGCGATCAATTCGGCGCCATCGCTGCACTAAAAACTCAGGCAACGATGCTGCAGGGCGGAAAGCTTCTGAACGCTGCACGATCTCACTCCCCTGCACACACCAGCGGGCGGCTTATCACCACTGGGGGGCGGCGGCGGATCTGGAGACAACTATCGCAACGCCATGCAGAACCCGAGCCAAACCAAACTTGACCATCCTTCGGGGCCGCAGGTTCGACAGGCTGCGGGATGTACAATATATCCTTAGACGCACTGAGAGGAGACCGCAGGGGCAAGAGTTTGGCGGCTAACTTAATAGTAGCCTTACAATGCTTGACACAAACATCTACCTCTTCCAACAAGATCTCGTCTGTGGGATGGGTATCCCAAACGGCCTTGGCTCCAACATCTGCCAGATGGTTTCCCAAACGGAGGGCAAGCTCCCTCTCGGAAACATGTTCGTCCTGAAGGCTCTGGTGAGCCTTGCCTTTGGACACCGAGGAAATGAAAAAACGCTCAGGCCGATTGAGGAGCAAAACAAGCACGCCAGCGCACATATGCTTGAAACAGGTCTGGGCTTCTCTGGGCAATTCGTGCATGTTCACATTCGCACAATCGGTGGAAGTTCGCTGGGACCCGGCAAACACATGGTGTCTCCCCAGTACCCCGAAAACTGGGGGGTCTGGGGGAGCGGCGCCCGAACGGGGCACCTCATAGTACACAAGTGTTCGTCCTGGTCGTTGAAAACAACAAGGCCCACGAGGCCCTGTTTGATTCGAGGATGGGGTGACGGGAACAGGACCCATCAAGAATAACTGTGCGTTGCATGGCGAACGGATTGGATGGGGGAGGATCGCAGTTCCAGTCCACCTGCCAACCTCCCCCTTGGAGAGGGCGAGGGTATTTGTCGCCAGGATGGGTCATAATGCCTCGAGTACACAGCTTCAACCGTTCCTGCTTTGCAGTGAGAAAGTCCGTCACTGCGTCCACCAACTCAACCCCAATCAGCTCCCTACGCTCGGTGTTGCAGGACGGGCACCTCCAAATGCGGTGAAACATAGTGACTCTCTCGATACTGCATCGTTCGCACATATCTGGGAATTGGTAGCACTTCGAAAAGGCATACGTGGTGGTCCAAACCGCCCCGTACGCCCAGGCCCTGATGGTTCCCTCCTGCGGGGGGGGAAACTTCGAGCTGTAGAGAGAAGCCGCGACAAGAGAGCCGCGAGAAGAGAAATCCATGTTGGCTCCAATATCGCATTCGAGTTGCCGATCGACGGCCCAAGAGGTCCCAAAGACGGCTCCAAGAGGGGGCCCAGATGAGGGACCCGAGCAGACATTTCGAGCACGCGGCCCCGATGGGCCAACAGGAGGTCCCAAGATGCCCCCAGATGCCCCCAAGAGGTCCCCAAACCGCCCCCAAGACGCCCCCGAGAGCGCTCCGAATTCACCCCACGAAGCCTGAGAACTCTGACCCAAAACCCAGATACGGTGGCGGGATGGGCCGAAGGCCATTCGCTATGTGTATGTGTATGTGTGCATGGCTGCGAGCGCTTCTCACTTTGACGCGCTTTTGATATCTTCTTCAACCTCCTGAGGCCTCCAGAGGCCTCCGGGGACATCATGGGACCTCCGCGGGGACCTCCAAAGACTGCACACCTCCAGGGAACTCCAGCCGCCCTCCCGACCCGACCCCAGAAACGTGTTTTGGTCACTGTTGGGGAAAATATCCAGCTCGCGCAAGTCTCAACTCGCTCCCTCCTCCCTAATTCCACTCCTCCTCCTCATCCTCCTCCTCCACCTCCTCCTCCTCCTCCTCCCCCTGCCTCTCTGCGTGTTGCAAGTAGGGGTGCTCCCCAAGCAAAGGGTGTCTCCCCTCAGCCAGATCCCGATGGCGGACCGCCCGCTCGTAGGCCTGGAAGCTTGGCGGCACGCCGCTGCCTCCACGGGGGGGGGGGGGCTGTAGCCGCGGTGCAGCGTCGCCCGCGGCGGCCGCGCGCCGCGGCCGCGGCCGCGATGCCCGCCGCCTCCTGAGCGGCTGTTGCAGCGGCTGCCTCCGACCTGCCCGCCTGCCTCCTCGCTCCTCCCTCCTCCTGCCTCACTCCTCCCTTCCCCCTCCTTCAGACGAAGCCAGAACGAGGAAACCATCGGGCGAGGATGCATCGAGAATTCTGAGATCTGGCGGCTCGGACGCCGTGGCCTCCTCAGAGCACTCCCGAACGCTCTGAGAGCGTTCCGGAACGCTCTGGAACGGATTTCTTCTCGACCCAGCCCCGCCGGACTCCTCCCTCCTCCTCCTCCCTCTTTTTCGCCCCTCCGTCTTCCGCCCTCCCCCGTGCGATCGACGACGGCGGCGACGAGCCAACGACAACGAGTTGACAACAACAACAACCAAGGAACTCCGGTGGCACGTGAAGTCGTCAGGCCAATTGTGCTGCGCAGGCTCGAGCGGCGCCGTACTGACGATAACAGGCTGGCGAGCTGACGTCGGGCACCGATGTGCCTGGCCCCGCGCACGCCTCACCACTTATGCGACTGCGCACACGCGGTGTAGTCGCAACCGCGCTTGTGCTTCACGAGCCAAATCGCCCTCGAGCTCGCAGCGCCGAGCGCATCAGTCTGTGGACCCACGGCTGTCGAAATGCCTGGCTACTGGCAGCCCAGGCAAGCACCCTGGGCAGGAGGCACCCAAAGGTGGGCACCCCCGGCGGGCACCCCCAAGCAGGCAGACGCCCCCAGGCAGGCACCCCAGACAGGCACTCCAGGCAGGCACCCACAGGCACTCCCAGGCAGGCCCCCCAGGCAGGCCCCCCAGGCACCTCCAGGCATGGCAGGCACCACCAGGCAGGCACCCTCAGGCAGGCATCAAGGCGGGCACCCCAGACAAGCACTCCAGGCAGGCTCCCCCAGGCAGGCACCCCAGGCAGGCAACCCAGGCAGGCACCCCAGGCAGGCACCCCAACCCTCCCCGCGGGACGCATTAAAATAAAACATACCCTGCGGGAGACGGTGCAATACTCCCTGCGGGAGGTGTAATACAATACAATGCAATGCAATGCAATGCAATGCAATACAGTGCAATACAATACAACTCAATACAAACCAATACAATACAATCCAACACAATACAATGCACACATCAAAACAATGGAATACCATATTAAATAATACAATTCAATGACAAAACAATGCAATACAATACGATACAACATACTAGCATACAATACAATCCAATACAACTCAAACCACTACAAAACAACATAGTCCAATCCAGCACAATGCAAAACACTTCACTACACTACAAAACAATACACTACAAAGCAATCCAGCACCTGACAATACGATACAATACAATGCATTACCATGACAGACATTACAATACAATACAATACAACACAATACAATACAATCCAATACAACACAATCCAATACAACACAATACAATACTTCCTTCGGTAGACGGTGCGATGCTCCCTCCGGGAAGCAGTACAACTTAATACCCCCTGCGGAAGGCAACATACCCTGGGGGAGGCAATGCAATACAATACCCCCACCTGGTTGGTAATTAGCTGCCTGGTTTCTTGGCTGCCTGGCTGCTTGGATGCCTGGTTGCATGTCTGCCTGGCTTGGCTGCCCGGCTGCCCCGCTTGGCTGCCTGGCTTCCTGGCTGCCTGGCTGCATGTCTGCCTGGCTGTATTGTTGCCTGGCTCCCTGGCTCGCTGGCTGCCTTGCTGCTTGGCTGGCTGCCTGCGCAACACTGTCTGCATGCCTGCTTGTCAACTGCCTGCCAGCTGTCCACTCGATCTTCGCGGTGCTGATGATGGTGACGGTGGTGGGATGGTGGTGGTGGTAACGCTGGCGATGACAACGACCATGGATAAAGAAGCAGCTGGCTTTGGTAGCTCTGGTGAGGGCAGGGTGACGGCTGTGGCGATGGCGGCAACGAGAACCTCAGCGAATCTGATGATGGCCAAAAAGGCTGCAACCCCACGCAATGTTCAACTCTACTTTTGCGGTGCTGCTGATGACGTTGACGGCAGGGTCATGGTGGTGATGGCGATGGTGGCGATAACGACGACAAGGATGATGTTGAGGATGGACAAGCAGAATACAAGTCGCGCGACAACGTGAGTCATGGTATCCGCCAAATCTTGAACGATCGCCGCTCTCGGAGGTCTGTGGGCGCCCTCGACCACATGTTTCGTGTAGATTTCGCGTCGCGGATTGTTTCCTGTGGGTCCCAGGGACCGAACATAGGGTGTTCAACCTTAAACGCCCGCGCCAGCGTCGCGACCGCGCTGAAACGACGGAAACGGGCCGCATCCTGTGCTGCGTCGAGTCAGCAGAGTGAGGCGCAAAATGACCTGAAAACAGGATACCGCGGTCAAGCGGTAACCCCTGAAACAAGTATTGACGTCATGCTACGCTTGAATCGTATAGAGAGATAAGAGCCTCTGCCTCCTTCATAAGAGCTGTTCGCTGGTTTTTGAAGTCAATTTTGAGCTTGCTTGCCATACCCGTCCAACCAATATCTTTGCACGCCCGTGTCAGATTGACGTACGTATTCGTGCACAAGGGCACCTTCGCCTGAACCGAGTCCTCGTACAACTTCACAGCGTAGTCAACACGTTGAAGCATAATGCATGAACGGATTGTATAATGGTAAGCGTACCGGTCGGGCTCGAAGGACAGCTCCCGCATCGCATCGAAGATGGCAATGGCTTTATCGAATTGGCCACTGAACAAGTAGACCTTGATCATGACGGCATAACTTCTTGCATTGGGAGCAACCGCATGATTAGCCATGTTCCTGAACAACTCTTGAGCCTCGTTGTGCATGCCAAGCTGAAGACAAGCACCCAACACTGCATTGTACGCCGGCCGCTGGAGCTGGATACCTGAGCGCTCCATTTCATTGCTTACCTTCAAAGCGAATGCTGGATCGGAACGCTCGTAGTTCACGACAATGACACGATATGCCCAATTGCTGAGGGGGACCCTGTCGCTCATCATCTTCACGAAATATTCCACGACACTCTCCGGAAGCTGATCCTTCCACGCAGACAGCAAGCGGTTCTGGGTACAAGGCGACGGGCGGATTCCATGAGCTCGAACTAAATCAAGAAGCGACAATCCGTCCATTTGAATGCGCTTGTCATCGAGACTATCAGCGACGAGCTGGAAGAATTTGTTTGACACGGCCTTGTTAATGAGGTGTGCACCAGGAACGGCCCCCTTCTTCAACATATGGTCGAACAACTTCACAGCTGTGTCACCATGTCCAGATCGAATGGAGGCACGCATAACTTCAGACACTTTTGGGAGTGTGTGGGTCACGCCCTTTCGCTGCACGCACTCGATGACGTGCACGTCGAACCTCGGTCGTCGTCTTTCATGTCCATGCTGATCCCGTGAGCCCTTCGGGCTGCTATTGATCATGCCTGGCGGCGATGCGTGTTCCTGAGGCGACGCGCGTTCCTCGACGCAGGCAGCGCAACATGCGTCGCGCATACTGTCGAAAACCGCCTTGCCGATCAACGAGTCTTCGATGGAAAACTGAATCAGTTTGATAACTTTGTCCGTTGTCTTCGTACTGCGGGAGTCGAGGAAATAACCGAGAACGCAAAGCAGTAACACGACCATGTCGATATCGATGTGAAGACTTGATGCGCCCAATCTGCTGGACGTGGCAAGGAAAACGGTGCGTACCGCGCAGAACACAGCACAGAGCGATGCGACGATCATGACAAAACCATGAACGGCACGCACCTCTGACAATGTGTGATGGGTCAACTGAACCTTCTCAAGCGAAGCCGGCATCGGACACGACAGGAGGCGAAATATGTAGGAACGTTCAAAAGATGTGTGCTTATATGGAATGTTGCCCGCGCTCGGGCCGAACCATCTGCTGGCTATTGGGCCAGCTTGAGCCAAAATGGCTACGGAAGTCAGCAGAGTGAGGCGGAGGAGGAGTAAGGAGTAAGAGGAGGAGGAGAAGGAGGAGGAGGAGGAGCAGGAGGAGGAGGAGGAAGTGGAGGAGGAGGACCAGTGTAAACTCAAGACACATGCGCGATGTTCTGATAAACCCTCCCCCCAGGGTCTTCTTCTTGGGCCCCGACAAATATTCATTCCCACTGAGAGAAATGCCCCGTTTGGAGACATCCGTTTGAAGATCCTGCAACGTGCCGAAACACCATTCTCGGGACTGCAACGCCACGGAACAAAACAAACCTGACTGCTGCGTTTTGACGACCCTGAACCGTTTCAGAACACCATTCCTGGAATTTCAACACCGCGAATCGGCGTAATTGTCGCGCCCTGGCAATCTTGAGTCGTGCCAAATCCCGTTTCTGGTAAGTTAACCGTGGGATTGGTTTAAATCATTGTAAATTGTTAGCACGAATGCGCGCGGCGCTGAAGCGAGAACCGCATTGAAAACAAACCGCCTCCCATCGGTGAATCCTATGTAGATCATCGCAAAACGACTGCGCGCGGCTTTGAAGCGAGAACCGCATTTTGAAAACTGTGCGCCCTCAATCCGTGAAGCTCTTGCAAAATCTGGAGGCGAATGTCCGCGGCGCTGAAGCAAGAACCAAATGTTCAAAACCACCCACCCTCCACTCGTAAAGCTCTTGCACACCTTGAGAACAAATGTGCGGTGCGCTGACGCGAAAACCACATTTTGACAGCCACCCACCCTCACACCGTTAAGCTCTTGCAGACATTTAGAACGAATGCGCGCGGCGCTGAGGCAGGACTGATAGTTTGAATGCCGCCCGCCCTCAATCCTTGAAGCCCTCGCAATGTTTTAAAACGAGTGTGCGAGGCGCTTAGGCGAGAACCAGATGTTGAAAACGACCCGCCCCCAAGCCGTAAAATCCATGCATTTTTGGGGGCAGGAACAAATGCGCGCGGCGCTGAGGCGAGAGCCGCATTCTGAT